TTGCGGCTTTCCGGTTTTGTGAATTCCAAGCTTCTGTGTTGAATGCAAGAAACGAAGTCATCTCACACTGAGGGAGCTGACCAGGCCAACCAGGTGTGTCCATCCAGTTAGAGGACAGAAGCGGCGAGACTCTGTGCAAGCCAGAATCTCTTTCTCAAAGAGATAGCGATCGGACAACGCAGGAGGACATTTGCGGCCTTCATCTTTACAGCTGCGTCTTGATATGGGATCTCCTCTTTGCTCCTGAAAGAGGGTGCCCCATATTGAGGTGGGCTCACCAGATTCTTGAGTCCACGTAGAGGACAGGAGAGGAAATAGTCAGGTATGATATATAAGAAAATGGCAAAAGCAGACCAATCCATTTTCCAGACAAAAGGATGAGGAATTCCGGTCGTGAACATCCAAATTGAGAGACCCCTCATGTGGTGGCTGAGTGCTGTGAGGCCCAGAACATCCAAATGCAGGCAGCGCCTCCCTTGACGGGTTCTCGTGTGCGCTTCAACCCAACCATCACAGGTGATGAGGCCAGGTCTTGTTCCGCCTCGGGGTGCATTGTTCAGAGAGGAAGGAACGAGCACAACAATCGAATGGTGAAAATTAACAGTTAAAGGTCGTGTTTGGCTTTTGTGCATCTGCCTAAACAAATTAAGTATCTACGCATCTCAGCAGGTAAAGACTCAGGCAGTTCGGTTCCTGCACTGTGCTATGAGGCCAAAGCTTTGCCTCGCTGTGAAGTGAGCGTGCGATATACGCAAGGTCGCCTGGGCGGCCATACCTTGAAATTCTTCCAGCCAATCTCCGATGGGAGGCTTCTTTGCCTGGAATGCTTGAAACCTTGTGAGGCTCACACAGTGAGACCCGAACTGGTGACTTCGTTCACTGCTTCGGACGGTGAGCATGTGACGCACCAGGCTTCCTCCACGGAGACTGACCTTTTTTGTGCTGGCTCCTGCAGGGCGCGCTTCTTTGGGAAGCGCAATGAGAGCAGTTTGCGGCGGCAGCTTTTTGATTTGGAACGGGGAGTCTGTCAGAAATGTGGTGCGGACTGTCATGATCTATGGCAAACTTTGCTAGCTTCCAGCCCGGAGAGACGCAAAAAGCGCTTGGAGGACAGACATCTCTTTTCCTTTTTGGCCCCTTGGATTCCTTTTGTGGTTTGAGAAAGGATCTAGAGTCTAGAGAGCGATGCAGGAGGTGGCACCTGGCTTGAAGTCGCCATCAAAGGTGACTGAGGGCTCCCTGTGGCAAGCAGACCACGTGGTGCCTGTGTGGCGCGGGGGTGGTCTTTGTGGCCTCGAGAATCTACAGACGCTTTGCACAGCGTGTCATAGTGAGAAGACCAAGAAGGAGGCTCAAGAGCGCAAGGCCTGTGAGTTCAAAGATGCCTTTGAAAACATCATTCGGCTCATTAGGACTTGCTTGGCATTGGCAAGCTCAACATTGATGTTCCAAACTTGTTGGCGGGCGCAGAAAGACCTGGATAGGTTTTATTGATGACTGGACAAAATCAAGGTGCTTTTGTTTCCTAATGTTTTTGTGCTCCCTTCCTTGGCAGCCTCCAGGAAGGGCGAAGATGTGCGAAGCCCAAATTGAAGATGGTGACGCCACAGCGTCCTGCGCACAGCCGCACTGTGCGCGAGAAGTCCAAGGCAAAAACTGCGCCGAAAATATCCCAAGCATCTCTGACCTGGGACAGAGAGCTCAAGGGCAAGCGGATTTGCTTCGATTTGACTGAAGACGAGCCGCCAAAAGTGCCGAATAATTTTGCTCTGTTCGTTTTCAAGCAAGGAGTTGGACGATCGATTCAGATGATTCAGCAAAAACTCACTCTTCAAAAAGAGAGGCCAATCAAGTCTCGGAGTGCTTGTTGGATTGTATTTCGCCGCATTTTGGTTCGGCTCGATACAAGCCACCTGAAGTCGTGGCACTGTGCCCTTGATTCCAAGTTTTTTCCGACATCATGAGGCATGATCGTCCCGGCTTCTTTAAACGTGTGAAGAGCAGGACATTTGATTGTCTCAGAACTGGTGAAAATGAAGAAAGCATATTATATAGTATTATATACTGTATACAATATTACTTTCCTGTGGCCACAGTATGACAGAGTTAGACAGCTACAGTAGGTATGCCTTCCGTCGGGATACCGGCCCCTGCAACCTGAGGCGGTAACCCCCATCCGCCAGCACGTTGACTGCTGCGCAAGGGGCTCCTAGCTTTTGATGGACGATGCAATGTAAGTTGTTCACCTATATTCAACAAGAGTTGACAAGAGAATGTCAACAATTAAAGCATTTACCAAATTGCGCTCTGCTTGTGTCCAACCACCATAGGACCATTGTTTTGTGGAGAACTGTCTCAGGTAACGAACCTAATTGTAGCTTTGAAGTGCCGGCATGTTTGGCAGTCGCCTAGACGCACAAAAGAATTGTTGATTTGATCATTTTTCTCAAATCGGAGGGAAGGCTCCTGTGGACCTGAAGACTTTTCTGTGAAGCTACGAACGTAACAAAGGGCATTGCTACTAGCGGCGAGAACGCTACTAGAAGCTCCTGGCATTATTACTGGGAACATGAAGCTACTAGGAGCAAAGGGCATCGCTACTAGTAACAAGAAGCTACTAGGAGCTCCTGGCCTTAATGCTCGCTACTAGGAACAAAAAAGTCATGCCCTTTTGGACCCCGAGCCGCGCCCAACGCCAGGTGGCCCCGTGCGGGCCACGATGGATCTCGGAAGCCTCTTCTCCGGCCTCGCAGGCGTGGCAAGTGGGTTGTGTGGCATTGTTACTAGTAGCTTCTTGCTCCTAGTAGCGATGGCCTTCACCTAGTAGCTTCTTGTTACCAGCACAAGAAGATGAGAGAGGCAAGCTGGTATCCTTAGGGGCCAAGGACCCACACTGTTTTGCTACACTGTCAGGGTTCATCTAGAGCAGGAGGGCGGAGACCTGTGGCGTCACCGTGGTACCAACAACGTTTCTGCAGCAGGCGCCGCCTACGAGCTCTTCGGCTACAACCGGAAGCGGGGCCGCCCAGCTGGTCGAACAGCTGTGTTGCTATACGTTTGTATTTATGAAAGCTCCGTCAAAAAATGTAAGTCTCGAATCGAACAAATTCATCATTTTGCATCCATGGCTGATGTGGATGCCGGTGATGTCATTCCTCTTCTGCCCACATGGTCAACCAGAATCGTGTTCCAATGCTGCTGTGGGAGACTTCCTTTGTTTGGTGCACAAAAGGGAGGGGAACGGTGCAGCACAAGGATTCTTTACACAGGGCTTTGGTACAACCATGGCCCTAGAGCTGTCTGAAACTGCATACCGCACTTACAATGCACCGTGCTTGTGCGCACAGTGGGGTCCTGCCCACATGCTGACTTCATGACACGAACTGGCAGGAACTTCCAATATGATCGCAGACAACGAACCATCATGGAGTATCAGCTCTCGGACCGACCAGAGCGCGAGAAAACGAAAAGGGGCGACTTCGCGCCTGCTCGCCCCAAAAACAAAAGCCAATGGGAAGATAGGGACCTGCCGTTTTGGCCCTCCACCACTTGGGAATCGGAGCAGGCTTGTCCCAGTTGGTGGACCGCGCACTTCGGAGCGATGGGTCCATCTTTGAGTCCAGATGGATGGGTCCATCGGTGATAAATCAAAGGCTTGGCAACGCTATGACACATACACTGGACCAAGTGTACCCTAGCAGCCACAGGGTAGAGGAGAATCATAGCTTCAAGACCAATTCGTAGGTTGCTGTATAGTACTTGGTCGTTTTGGAGGGATTCGGGGGAGTGTATCCTTCTTTGCAGATGTGCAGATGCTAGGAGATGCGCATCAAGCAAGTGGGCTTGTGGCGCGATGACGTCCGAGACGCTGTTGAGCCAGAAGCTTGAAGACTACGGGCCTTGCTTTGCGTTGCTTTGGGAGTAGTTTTTGCAATGAGGAGAGATGGACCATTCCTGGAAATGGCTTTCAATCGAACTGGTTATATGGCAGCTTTGCGCTGGGAAAGACGGGAACAGGCTGAGAGCAACTATATTTCAATCGAAGTTCTGAGGATTTTTCCTTTTCAGACTCGCTCATGTATCAGTGCGGATAGCAGTCCGTTTGGGCAGCCCTTGGAGCACCTCAGGTTGACTCCAAAGAAGATGGAAGTGCTGTCCTGAGTCTTTGCCCAGTCACAGTATGTGATTCAAATGTCACCGTGGGCCAGGATGACCCAGAAGAACCGCCCGCCAGGGTTGTTTGTTTGAATGCCTCAAGGTCTTTTGCCTACACCGAGTTATAATCTATTTTCATATTTCATTTGCGCCAGTGAGTCGTTCAAGGACCGAAGCTGCATTTTAGGCACCTCGTCCACCTAAAAAGATGCAAGAAAAGGTCTAAGACCCTCACCATACAGGCAGCTTTTGGAAGCTTTCGATGTTGTCCAGTTCCGTTTGTCAGCAGCGAAGTCATCTCCAGGTCTATTTGTTAGTCATTTCCCTAGAGCTGACCGCTGCCGCCTGTTGTCTATGCAAGGTGCCTCTGCAAGACTTTTTGGAGACTGTGTAGGTTGTTGGAACGTATTTTTGAATCATCTCTGCGGGATTGAGACAGCAAGCAATTTTCATTATTTGGGCCCGCTTTGAACTGACAGATTTGTTCAATTTTGATCAGCAGTAAGCAACAGAGGGTGCAGTAGCCTAGAATAGAAGGACGGCAAAGCACCTTTGAGAATGGATATATAGAGACTCTTGGAAGTGGTCTTTAGGTCCGTTCGATTCGCGAGTTCAGCTCAGCTGGCAAACAATGTTCTGCTCGGACAGGGTGCACGACACCATTTGCTTGGATTCTCAAACCATCAATACCAGCGAGAACCCAGCGAGAACCCCGCCGGCGAGAACCCAGCCATGATCGCCGCCGATTCCATCGCCAGGGCCGAATCCCTCCGGGTGCTCCACCCTGGATGGTGGCAGCTGGTGTGCAGAGCTCGGTGGGAGGAGGAGTCACAAGACGGAATTGGTGACCGGACTTCGGAGGAATTGGGGGGGACTTAACCTCACCGACTCAAATCCTTCAGACCTGTTAGAACAAGAGCAGACCTTGATCGCCGCTGCCTGGTGTTTGCGATGAAGGAAGGTGTTGAACATGGTATAAATTATAGGCGTGCTTAAAACGGGGAGACCTACCAAAGAGCCCCTGGAGAAGGGACATAGACAAACCCATTGGTAGCCAATTGGTTGGGGGACTTCCAATGAAAATACAGACCCTTATGGGAAAATAGGTTGAGAAGCGTAGTTCATTGCTGCGCATGTCCCAGACTGACAGCTTGATGCCAGGTTCGCTGGGTTGGTGTCTCTTTACATTTACATACCTACCAACAGGTCTCTCCTATTGTGCTGCAGCACTATTCCAACAGGCTTCAGCTTTGGTGTTTTCAGCCGAAGTTCTTTGGGGTTCCCTTCAAACAGCTTTTGAACTGTGACGGTTTATGTCTAAGGTTGGCAAGATGTTCCTTCGCAGCCACTATTTGTCAAATAGCTCCACATAGACCTGGTGATGACGTCGCAGTTTAGCGAGATCAGAGACGTTTTTCTACCTGAAGACAGCTTGCGCCGATGCCACTTCTAAGATTCCTCATTTTTCTTGATTCCTTGCTGTCAAGCACCTGACATATGATGAAAGGCAGCTTTTGACGCTCATTTGGGCTGAATGTGATGAGAAATCTTGCCTCATTTATTGGAGGCGGTGGGTTCTTGGCCTTTGCTTTGCCACATGTCGGTGCAGCTCCTTCTGGCCAGCGGCCGCGTCTTGCTCCAATGCCCTTTGAGATTCCTGGCTGAACAACAGTTGGGGCGGCCGTTGGGGGAAGATTGGAGGGGAGTGAGGGCATCTAAGATTTGCCTTGTTTTGTATGACATGAGTGACATGAGCATATATATATATATATACATAGATTCTAATTTTGTATGCGTGGCTGCCGCACTTTGACGCGTGCACCACGTTCATCCTGTGTGCCGAAGGTGCAGTGCCGGTTGAGGATTGGTGCTGGCCTTCCACTTGGCCTTCACTGAGGCACCAGTGGGTCACAAGTTGCCCAGGATGCCCAGAGAGCTGGGGTTGCCGTGCAGGGCCTGGTGAAGGCGGATGGGCAGCTGCTAGATCTTCGGAAAAGCCTGGCAGAGAATGGCTTGGAGGTGCGGTGAGACCATCTCTCATCCGGCAAAGCAGTTTGTACAAGGGTCCACAAGATCTTTGGGACTCCCTAGTCTTGGTGCCCAGCATCCTTTTTCTCATATATCTTTTTTTACATATATACATATTGATATATAGTAATATACATATTTGCCAGGTCCTTAGGTCCTTCCGTTGATGCTCCTTCCGAATGCAACTCTGAAAGGACGGCGACGTGGTCACCGCCGTGGCGCGCCGCGCGCGCCTGGCGGCGAACCTCTCGGCCTTCGTGCTGATCGGCGCGGATGGTCGCGCCGAGGCCTGGGGCGGCCCGGAGCTGAAGTGCGAACTGACGGATGTGCAGGAGAGGGCGGAAAGAAGAGAAAGATTCTGCTGCACTGCTTCGTTTGGGGTTAAGACTCCCCTGCTCCTGTGGGAGTCTTTGGTTGTCATACTTGTTGAGCCACATGCAGCCATTCTGCGACCCGAAGCCGTCAAAGCCTTTCAAAGCAGATCAATCGCAGTATGGCTTCGACCGCGCCCTCCTCCTTGCCGGGCTCCGCTATCCTGGTCACCGGGGCGGCACGTGGCATTGGGAAGGCGATTGCTGAGGAGCTGGCCAGGAACGGTGCCAAGGCGATCTTGCAGTCTTCTGAGTCTTCAACATCTCACTTCAGTGGAATCATTAGGGAGTAGTAGAGTAGCTGCTGGAACAGCTAGATGCAGACGAAGGCACCCCCGATTGGTTGGAGATGTTTTCAATATGCCTGGAAGGCACTATTAGTACTACTACTCCTACTCCTACTCCTACTCCTACTACTCCTACTCCTACTCCTACTCCTACTCCTACTCCTACTCCTACTCCTACTACTCCTACTCCTACTACTCCTACTACTCCTACTACTACTACTACTACCACCACCACCACCACTACTACCACTACTATAAACATAGATATCCTAGTAGCCTCCAACCTACTAGCGATGGCCTCCACCTAGTAGCTTCTTGCTCCTAGTAGCGATGGCCTCCACCTAGGATTATAAAGATCTTTCATTGGAGAGAGCATGTTTTCCAAATTTCAAAAACCAAGTAAAAAAAACAACTTAGTCCCAAAAGTCAAAGTCCAGAAACTGTCCAATCAGAAAGTTTCAGAAAGTCAAACAAAAAATCAAATTGCTCAGATCCGACCTTTTTCTTTACTTTTGTGTTTCTATTTCTGACTTTTTTGTTTATTTTACTTTTTCGATTTATTATTCTTTTTTTTTTGGACTTTTTTGAAAGGTTGATTTTTTTTAGTTTTCGAGTTGTTTTATAATTTAGCATTTTTTCTGAATTTGCTTTTTCGACTTCTCAATATTTGATATTTTTTTTTGACTTTTCAATTTGATTTTTTTGACTTTGACTTTTCCATTTTGTTTCGATTTTTTAAATATATATCAAGGATTCTGGCCTTACCATATGAAAGATTTTTATAAACCTAGTAGCTTCTTGCTCCTAATAGTAGCGATGGCCTCCAACTTAATAGCGATGGCCTCCACGTAGTAGCTTCTTGCTCCTAGTAGCGATGGCCTCCAACCTACTTGTGATGGCCTCCACCTAGTAGCGATGGCCTCCAACCTACTTGCGATGGCCTCCAACCTAATAGCGATGGCTTCCACCTAGTAGCGATGGCCTCCAACCTAATAGCGATGGCCTCCACCTAGTAGCGTCCTTCCTACCTTTTCATTTTTGACTGCACACGGTATAAAAGTAAAAAGTCCTTTAGGGAGGGCCCGAGATCTGCTGGCGCAGGTGGTTGTCACCGACGTTCCTTCCAATAGCGAGGGCATTCAGGCTCTGTGCAGCGCGCAGATTGTGGCGGCACCCTTGGGAGATTTGACGAATGAGGAGTTCCTCCAGACCTTGGTAAAGGAGCCACAGCTGCGGCAGAAGCCATTGTTTTGGCACCACCAATCTGTATCATGTGACACATTTGATTGGTTGAGATCAGTTTATCCATCCAATTCTTTTGCGGAAACGGAAACAACAGCTTAATTTGACATCATCCCCAACCCTATGCAGGAGGCAGTGAAATTGGCAGGGCCTGGAGGCAACTGTGCTAGAGAAACGGCAGCCCGGGCATACCTTGTGATGTGTGCTTTGTATCAAACTTTTCCCCTCTATCTTTTGGACAAGCCGCTTTGGCTCCGATGTTGTAATTGATTTGCTTGTCCTAGGTTCTTGAAGCAAGTAAAACTCTTTCGGTGCTTAGCCGCTATCATTCTGCATGTTCTTGTAGACTTGCTCATCTGACCAGAGGCAGGAATGCGTCTTGACAGTTCACTCCTTTGAAGGATA